GGGCTAAAGGATCGATGCTTTCCTCTTTTCTTCTTCTGACCTGTCCCGATTGAATAAAAGGAAAGAGCGGCATCACCGCTAAAATGTTTCCATCATTGAGTAAACGGAAACAAAATGGCCAGGTGACACAGGTAAAAGTGAAAAAAATATCGGTTTCAAAAAAAATGAAAAAAAAAGATTTTTTTCTGTTAGCTTGTCGCCTCATGCAACAAAGCTAAATTTTTGATAGGTTAATTTGTCATCAATTGATGTCAAGGTGGAAGTTACAGAACAACAAATTCAACGTAAATTAGGAGTGTTCTTCACTTCTTGAATGGAGTAATCCGTATTCCCTGGAGAGAAATATGCGTAATGCTTTATGAAGATGATAGATTTGTGGGTTATTTTGATCTTATCCGTCCATTTCAAACCAACGGTTGGGACTGGCCAACGGCACAATGCCGTTGAAACAACGAACGGCAGACGATGTGCACCCGTTGTACTGTTATGCATTGAACACTTTGACAATGTTATAATAATAAGCAACTGAAATTTGAATCATAATGGAATACAGTTTAATCTTGTATTCTACTTGGTTGTTTAAGTGAAAGATCATTTCCTATTTACGTGGAACCAAGCTCAGTTGAACACAGAGACAACAAATAGAATGGTAGCATGTAGCAAGAAATAAAATTGGTAGACAATATACGGCATGGTGATCACTCAACGATGCTATATATGTAGTTGCTTATTCCAAACTATAGTCTTTGTGAAGTAGAAACTTCCTAAAGTTCAGGTGAAGATGTCTATAACCTACTGACAAAAAAAAAGTATCCTTATTTATTTTAACCGGTCCGTGAAAATAGTAATGCACCAACCCTTTAATTCTCTTTATAAGATACCTGCAACCTTCACAAACAATAGAAAGTTAAGAAATTGAAACTGCTACTTTATCCTTCCTTCCTTTTTCTCAGATTCTACAACTAAACAACAAATGAAATTAGTAAGATTAGTAAGAAAAAGAAAAGGAAAAAGAAAGCCATGCGCAAGCAAGCAAGAGAGATGACCAAAGTGGATTGTGCACGTTGCTCCGTCGAAGCATCAACCTAAGAAGTGGAGGGGGTATATACTGAGATGCATCAACTGAATGCAATAAGTTAACATCCTCTGTCATAATGATACTATCATTATAGACACTGACATGTGTATCAATAGAAAGGTGAGACCTACATACCAGTGACTGTAATGATAGTGACATTATGGTAGAAGATCTTCACCCGATATATGCACAGCAGAACTGCCGAGCGCTGATGGTGAACAACAAATGTTACATTCGGTCTATAAATGGGTATATTGATGAATGAGGAACAGCATTCCCACTTTCCCAGTGAATGGAACAGCGCATAAAGGAACCAAGGCTGACTGTTCATCTGATTCGCATGTTACAGGAGATAAAATAGCTTTAGTGGAAGATTAAGAGCTTAATTGCTACATGCGTTGCTGTTGGTATTCCAACTTTATGTTTCAAAACTCAGAGATGGCAAGGTGGGCCTCTTTGATTAGTCGTTGCCTTAGCTGAGATGGTAAAACGTTTAATGTTGATTGCTACGTGTTGATTGATAGCTACCCAAATGTTTATTATGTACAATCCGATGGCTTGAACGAATCGAGGTGATGTGGCTTACTGTCAAAACATGAAATTAGTTTTAATTTCACTTGGAAAAAAGTATACTTTGACTCCCTTACTATGACCCGAATATAATTCACGACCTTCAACCACAAAACTAGGTATATCGACTTCTCCAGCTATCAAAATCGTGCAAACTATATCCCTAGGTGGTTTTAAAAGCGGTTTTGGCTGACATGGCATCCACGTGGCGGTGTTGACCCGGTCATCGTCCCGCGTGTCGTCGACGTGTCGCTTATGTGGCATTAGAGTAAAAAAAATTGTGGGACCGACGTGTCATTCACACAAAAAAAAAAAATAGTAGAACCCACCCACATGTGGACCCCACATTTCATCCTTACCTCCCCCTTCTCTCTCTCACATTTTTTCCTCTCTCACCTTCCATCAGCCGGCGGAAGCACGAAGCATGAGCTCCTCCCCGAAGCCGTAGTCAGGGGAGGGAGGAGGAAGAAGGCGGTGGCGCGTGGACGGTCGGCGAGCTACTTAGCTTATCTGAAAGACTGAAACCATATCCAGAACAGTGAAAGCATATGCAAGCATGCATATGCATCGATCGATCGAGATATACGTATGCCTAAATTAAAGCACGGCTAGCTCCTCCCCCGGCAGGCGAATGGCCAGCGAGCTCCACCCCACGCGCGCGGACGGCCGGCGAGCTCCACCCCAGGCGCGCAGACGGCCGGCGAGCTCCTCCCCCGGCGCGCGGACGGCAAGCGAGCTCCACACCCGCGCGCCGACGCTGGCGAGCTCCTCCCCGGCGCGCGGACGACAGGCGAGCTCCTCCCCCGCGCGCGGACGCCGGCGAGCTCGCGGGACGGCCAGCGGGCTCCTCCCCCGTGCGTGGACGGCCGGCGAGCTCTTCACCCGGCAGGAGGACGGCCGGCGAGCTCCTCCCCCGCGCACGGACGCCCGCGAGCTCCTCACCCGGCAAGCGGACGGCCGGCGGGCTCCTCCCCCGCGCTCGGATGGCCGGCGAGCTCCTCCCCCTGCGCACGGATGGCCGGCGAGCTCGCGGGACGGCCGGCGGGCTCCTCCCCCGAGCGTGGACAGCCGGCGAGCTCCTCCCCCGTGCGTCGTCGCTGTCGTGTCGCCCCGCTTTACTGTTGGAAGGTGAGAGGAGTGGAAAAGATGAAAGAGAGAGGGGGGAGAGGTGAGGATGACATGTGGGCCCACATGTCCGTGGGTCCCACTATTTTCTTTTTTGTGTGAATGACATGTCGGTCCCACAATTTTTTTTTATTACAAGTGCCAGATAAGCGACACGTCGATGACACACGGGACGAAGACTAGGTCAACAATGCCACGTGAGCGCTACGTCAGCCAAAACCGCTTTCAAAACCACCTTGCATCGGTTTTAATAGTTGGAGGAGTCAATATACCCGGTTTTATGGTTGGAGGTCATGAATCATACTCGGACCATAGTTGAGGGAGTCAAAGTATATTTTTTCCATTTCACTTAGTGGGATGACTTGTATAGCTATACAGCCTATACTATATTAGCCATAAATACGTTAAAGTATAGGACTTTCTATTAAAAAAAAACCTAACCAATTATGCTACGCTTAGCTCATGGATGAATTTTAATTCAAGTTTCACTCGATTTGAAATTAAAATGAGTACGTAACTAGATTTTAGATATTTAAATTTGAATTATTTAAATATTTGCAAACGGCTATTATGATGCTATTTTTCTTCTTTCTTCTAATTATTTTTCTTTCTTTACAAAACTTTCAGGTCTTGTTTTCAAAGGTTTTTATTTATTCATTGGCTTTAACTGAATATATCCGGTGTTTGCAATTCTGATACTACCTTCCATGCCTGACACTGGAGGCACATCGATTTTCGTGGAATCTGATAGAAAATCGATAGATTCTAAACAAATTTTGTTGGGAAAAATTGAATTCAAATTCCCATTTCGGTTAGTCTTGTGTTGAAAACTGATCAACTTTATCAAAAATTTCAAATGGAAACTTTGAAATTCCGATCGGCAATTGGAAGTGCAAGCAAAGTAAAAACACCAATTGGTTTGTAAGGAAAACAGGTCGATTTTGTCGAGAAATCAACGAGAAATTTCAATTTTATTTTGTTTCCTAAAAACGTAGAAAATACTAGAACAAAAATGCTAAAATTTTGAAAAAAATCTAAAAATTTTGGCATTCCCTTTCTTATAAATTTGATAACTTCACATTGACATATACACATATTCATAAAAGACAATAATTTAGATCACATATGACATATCATGCACAATTCAATATATATCTTGGCATCACTCATTAACCATTGGCCAAATGGAATGCCTACCATATAAATTATAGTCTAATATTACAAGTTTATAGTCCAATACACAAGGTCTAAAGTTAATACTGGGGTTTTATTCTAGCTTCTAGCATACGAACACCTCCATAGTTTTTTTAACATTTTTTGGAGAATGTTTACATCAGCGAAATTCATTTTTTTTAAAAAAGTTACATACCAACAGGTTCTAATAATACCATACTATTTATAGGATTTCTTTTATTTTTTCGTTTTTATCTATTCAAATTTAAATTTTCATAGAACCATCAAAATTTTAGAGGAGAGCTACTGTCGAGCAACGTCGAAACATCGTTTTTTTTTTCAAAATCCAATCGATTTCGTGGACTCTGAATATGGGCATGTTTAGTTACCACACAAAAACTTTTCACGCTATCACATCGAATGTTTGTACACATGTATGGAGTATTAAATATAGACAAAAAAACCAATTACACAGATTGCGTGTAAATTACGAGACAAATCTTTTAAGCCTAATTGTGCCATGATTTGATAATATGATGCTACTTGATAATGTGATGCTACAGTAAACATTTACTAATGACGGATTAATTAGGTTTAATAAATTCGTCTCGTAGTTTCTAGACGGAATCTGCAAGGCCAAATTTTTTTTCCCAACTAAACAAGCCTATGGCTGTGTTTATATCCAGGGGTGAAAAATTTTGGCATGTTACATTGGATATACGGACACAAATTTGATGTATTAAACATAGAATAATAAAAAAAACTAATTAAAAAATCCGACAGTAAACCGCGAGACGAATTTATTAAGCCTCATTAATCCGCCATGGCAAATGTTTAATGTTGCACCACATTGTTAAATCATAGAGCAATTAGGCTTAAAAGATTTGTCTCATAAATTAGTCGCAATATGTGTAATTAGTTTTTTTTCGCCTATATTTAATAAGTGCTCAAGCGTTCAATGTGACATGGCGTAAAATTTTGGGTATCTAAACACCCCCTATGTCCCCTGGTATCTTACATGTGGGGCCAACCCACCTTGTCAGGCCGTCTCTCCCCTTCCTTCCCGTTTCCTCTCCCTCGCGTGAATCGTGTAAAAAGAGAGGAGAAGAAAAAAGAGTACTACTCCAGTATAGTAACAGCGTAAATCCCGTTCCCTTGGCCCTTGGGCCTCGCCGCCTCGACTCCCGTCTCCTCGCCCGGCCGGCGGCCGCCCGTCGCCTGCGCCGATCTACAACCCGCGAGCAGCGGTCCCACTGCTTCCGCCGCCGGTGGCGGTGAGGTACCTACGCACATCCCCTTTCCCATCCATCTCTGCCTTAACCCTAATCTTCTCTTCTAGATCTGGAAGCGTTTCTCTTTAATTTGCCTTCACCCTAGTACTAACAGCAGTTACACTTTTGGGGGGAGGTTCGATCGACTGAACCCCCTATGTCCTGATGTCCCACGCCACGTTAGATCCGCCCCTAGCACGCTATGAGAATAAAATAGTTCTGTTTGATTTATGCTTCGTCTCCCATGTTACTCTGCGCGGATAATAGATTTACCAGTTCTCTTCGTGCTAGAATGTGTAGTATTTTTTTTTTTTGCGGGGAAGAATGTGTAGTAATTCGCTATGGTTTCAAATTTCAGGTGCATCATTGCTTCCAGCTTATATCATCTAGTTCTCCCGTTTGTACCTTGAGGGGACAACAATGTCAGTCTCAACTGCTGCGGTTCCAACCGCAAATACAAATGGGAACCACGCGTTGAGTATGGACTCACATTCCAGCCAAGATGTTAGGCGGCGGACGGTAGTTGTTGCAAGGAAGAAAGCCTCACCTGAGCTCCTTGCTGATGGTGGATTCAATGGTACCTCATCAGTTGATAAGATCACTGACAAGAAGGATCTTAGTCATACTATCCGTGGAGAGTCAGTTCTTGGCAAATCAAAGTATCCATTGGAGGCAAGAAAAGATGCAATTGCCTCTGCAGCTGCTGCTGACCGTCAAAAGAAGAGTGGTGCTAAGCAAGAAAAGGCCAAGTGGGAAATCGCTCTAAGTGTGTTGATGAAACTTTGCCTTCTCATTTCGGCTGTCGCTTGGATGGGGCAGCTGTTCTGGAGATGGCAAAATGGTGATTTATCATTTACAACACTGGATATGGAGAGCAGGCTGTCCAAAGTGGAAGGGTTCAAGAAGACAACCAAGATGCTTCAGGTACAGCTGGATATTTTAGACAAGAAGCTAGGAAATGAGATTGACAAAACAAGGAGGGACATCACGAAGCAATTCGAAGACAAGGGTAATAAGCTGGAGATTAAGATGAAGGCACTAGAAGGCAAGACTGACAAATTAGATAAATCACTTGCTGAGCTTAGGGACATGGGTTTTGTTTCTAAAAAAGAATTTGATGAGATTGTGGAACAGTTGAAGAAAAAGAAGGGTTTGGATGGTACTGTTGGCGACATAAGCTTGGATGATATTAGGTTATTTGCCAAGGAGATAGTTGAGATGGAGATAGAGAGGCATGCAGCAGATGGCCTTGGAATGGTGGATTATGCATTAGCATCTGGTGGGGGTAAAGTGGTTAAGCATTCGGAAGCTTTCAGGAAAGCTAAGAGCTTTATGCCTAGTCGTAATAGTTTGCTTGAACAAGCTAAGAAAATGCTGGAGCCAAGTTTTGGCCAGCCTGGAGAGTGCTTTGCACTACAAGGAAGTAGTGGTTATGTGGAGATCAAGCTGAGGACAGGAATAATTCCTGAAGCAGTAAGTCTAGAGCATGTGGACAAGGTAAGGTTATTGCGTCATATTGTCTTAATTCAATTTAACATCACTCTGTCCTACCTTGCATTGCATAATTCATCTTATTTTGTGCGCTCTCTACTCTCATTCTGCTTATAATGCTGGTGCATCAATTGAAAACTTCCAGAATTTTTTTTTTAATTTGTGCATCAAATAACATTACATTTGTAGAAATACCACCTCAAAACAGGTTATTTGTAACATACCCCTGCTAAGATAGTATATCTTATATATGGCACTGAAGCAGAACCCAAATATGTAATATCTTTTGCTGGGTGATCTTAGAGTTATGCCACAACTTGTCAAAGGAACACAATTATTTCTGTAAAATGTTTAAAACCAAAAAGATCACCACTCTGTGATAACTATTTATTGCTGGAATGGAAATTTTCCTATGTTTTGGAGGCAAAATCAAATTGGTGGAACAATCCTGACTGAAATACAGGCAAATTACCAAATCATTGGATCAGTATTTCTCCTTATGTGTTGAGAAGTAGTTTAATTGTATTATGTCAAGGTCCTTGAGGTTAACTCCTGCATGCTAAGATATGACACATCGACTCTGCTAGTCTGCATCCTACCTTCAATGGATGAAAAAAAATGCAATGATATCTCAATTATTGTCCAGTTGCATCAATGTATTGCGTAAAGCATCAGTATTTGATTCCGCTAGTAAAATTGTGAGTCCTCTTCATTAGTAATGATTTTCAAGCCATGGGACAGAAATCCTTTTTGTCTTCTTTTGGTAGACATAACTGGTTATTCCCTTCTGTTTGTTAATCCAGAACATTATATTCTTGAACAATCTGTGTTTGTTAGCTCCGTAATCTTATATTCTTATGTCCTTTATTTTCTTGAGTCTGACTTCTGCTCCTTTTTCCTATGCTAACTTATGAAGACTTCTGTCCTATGCTAACTTATGACTTGTCTGGGTGCAGAGTGTAGCTTATGATCGATCTAGTGCTCCGAAGGATTTCCAGGTCAGTGGATGGTATGAAGGACCAGAGGATGATTCAGACAAGGAATCACGTGTGGTGACAAATCTAGGAGAGTTTTCTTATGACCTTGAGAAGAACAATGCACAGACCTTCCAACTGGAGAGAACCGCAGATTCACGAGTCATCAACATGGTTCGGCTTGACTTCTGCTCAAACCATGGAAATTCAGAACTGACATGCATCTATCGCTTCAGGGTGCATGGTAGAGAACCTGGCTCTCCTTAAGCTGCTGCAGTGAAAGCCTGATCTGAGAGCTGCATGCCTGAGTTTGACAACATCCTCAGGCTTCAATATACCCAGTAAGACAATGATTCTAGTCCACTGGATTGACTGTTAGAAGATAGAAGTGTGGTGCGGCTCCATCTGACTCAGGTTGATTTTACTCTGTATCATAATGCCATGAAAATATGCTGACTCGCAGTTCTGCTAGCTAGATGTCACACTTGTTTGTATCTGCTCACTCTGATAGTCTGATTGCTCTTTGGTATGGTTGTATTGTAATTGGTAGCTATCCTGTTATTTACAACTTTAGTTTATTGGGGTGTATTCATTCGGTGACTCGTGGGCATGGAGGTAATTTATGTTTTCCAACACGTTGTCTGACGTTAACCAAAGCTTTCGGCACGGTGTTTAGCTGTATTAGAGAGAACAGGTATCAAGAACAACAAATTGCACTAAGTTAACGTGTTTGCATGATTTTTTATTTAATTTAACAAGTACTCTGGTATAAATATTTAAAGTTTTAATATACTCTCCGTTCCAAAATGTAGTTGTACTGGCCCAAAATATAGCTATACCGAATAGGAAATATCCTAGTACTATGAATCTCAAGGCGCTAGGCACTATACGTTTGGACGGAGGAGAAACGTAGGAGGGAGTATAATCTCAAGGCGCTAGGCGCTATTTGGACGGAGGAGAAACGTAGGAGGGAGTATAATCTCAAGGCGCTAGGCGCTATAAGTTTGGACGGAGGAGAAACGTAGGAGGGAGTATAAGATTTGGTTAAACTTTTAGAACTTTGTGGAGGGAGTATAAGATTTGGTTAAACTTTTAGAACTTTGTCTGCCTTTAATATTTCAAATGTTTAGTTCGAAATATGTATGGTATGCCCAGATTTACCTTCAAAACGACTTGTTAGATTATATATTTTGCTTTAATATAAAATTGAGAGCTGAAGTTTCCTAGTTTGTCTGAATTTTACCTAAATATCAAATATTTATAGACGGAGAGAGCAGTAAGAGATGATAATTCTACATAATTGGCTAATCAAATTTTTGTATGAATATGTATATTCTTTGGAACGCATTGCGGCATGTCAGCATGTATATGTATTTCTATTGTCATATAATCTGTATGCTGTCTTGGGGAGTTTATGTGTAACAGTGCACTGAAAATACTCCCTCCGTTTTTTTACTAATGACGCCGTTGACTTTTTCTCACATGTTTGATCATTCATCTTATTTAAAAAATTTACGTAATTATAATTTATTTTGTTATGAGTTGTTTTATCACTCATAATACTTTAAGTGTGATTTATATCTTATATATTTGCATAAAATTTTTGAATAAAACGAATGGTCAAACATGTGAGAAAAAGTTAATGGTGTCATCTATTAAAAAACGGATGTAGTAAATGATTTCTCAGTTGATACAAGCTGCCAATGGCTGAAGCTAAGAAAAACATAGACGGAAGCAAAAAAAAAACTGTACAAAGTTTGACAGGTTACTTGTCACCTCTTAATCTACAGGAATTGGAACGTCAAGACCTCCTATGATCTTTCTGAGTAGGGGTGAAAACGTGTCACGCCCCGAACTAGTCCCGACCGGAACTAGTCCGTGACGCTCCAAATTAACCTGTTAATCGATACCAGTCCCAGGAAACAGTGCTGGTATCACAGGAAGACAGAATATCACAACAACAGAGGTCTCTTTATTATAGAGTAGGAGTACAGTCATGTTGGGCTGCGGACAGACCCCGAGCTCACAACTGCATTATAAAAGGGAAGCGGAAGCCAAGACTTGGACCAAACATCACAGGCGCGACTTGGGAACTAGGCCGAAACCCTTAAAACTCATCGTAGCCGGCTTGCTCCTGGAAGAACTCCTTGTCAGCGGGATCCGCTTCATCTTCTTCAGCAACTGGGGGGGATTATTTATATAGAGCAAGGGTGAGTACAGGAGTACTCAGCAAGCCATGGGAAATAAGTGTTTAATGCAGGCTTCAAAGAAAGGCTGTTGTTTTTGTGATTGATTTTATTTAAACTCTTTTCTGAAACAACTAAGGGAGTGCTTCTCAAACGACACGGATGAGACAGTGCGTCTCGTCCGGTCGGAGTATGTGCAATGTATCAGTCTTTTGAATCAATCAAGGTTGGCACCCGGCCGAGTCGATGACGACGGCGATGACGGCGGGGCGGTTTGGAGCGGAGCGACGACACGGGCGGCAGGCGCGGGCAGGCGCTGACGGCGGCGGCGACCAGGCGGTCGGCCACCACGGCGCGCGCGCGCGGGGGAAGCAACGGGCGGCGCGGCGAGAAGCGGCAGCGAGGGCGGAGGGCGCTCGGCTCAGCGCGGCTCACGCGCACGTGTGAGCAGCGCACGGGCAGAGCGGGGGAGGGAGAGAGAGAGAGAGAGATAGAGGGGGAGATAGAGGGGGAGATGGGCCGAGAGGGATTTGGCCCATCGAACCCGAGGGAGGCGAAATAGACTTTTGCGGAGGGATTTGATTTGGGAAGGATTTGGATTCGGGATTGAACTCGACGATAGATCGGGGATTTGAGATCTGAGATGGCACGGACACTAGACAACAAGCAAAGAAACGGATTTCGCAAATAGGGTTTTTAAGAGATAGTTTTCCCGCTAGGCGCCACGACGGAACGGGCGCTACAGACCAACCCCCCTAACAAGAATCTCGACCCCGAGATTCAGCACCTAAGGGAGTAGCTCCGGGAACTTGGCGCGGAGAAGATCTTCTCGTTCCCAGGTTGCCTCATCTTCAGAATGATTGCTCCATTGGACCTTGTAGAACTTGATGGTCTTCCTTCGGGTCTGACGTTCTGCCTCTTCAAGAACCTTGATCGGTCTTTCCTTGTAGGTCAGATTCTTTTCCAGCTCGATATTACCCAGGGGGACTTGTTCTTCTGGAACACAGAGACACTTCTTCAACTGAGACACGTGGAACACGTTGTGCACATCTGCGAGACCTTCAGGTAGCTCAAGCTGATAAACCACTTCACCACGTTTGGCGGTTATGAGGTAGGGGCCAATATAGTGGGGTGCTAACTTGCCGAACATCCCAAACCTCCTCATACCACGGAGAGGTGATACCCGCAGGTACACATGATCTCCTTTTTCGAACTCAAGGTCACGCCTCCGATTGTCAGCGTAATTCTTCTGACGGTTCTGCGCTGTCTTTAAACGTTCTCGGATCAGCTTAACTTGTTCATCTGCTGCCTTGAGCATGTCAGGACCGAATACCAGTGCTTCGCCCACCTCATTCCAGCACAAGGGAGTACGGCACTTTCTTCCGAACATTGCCTCATTCGGCGGTATCCGAATGCTGGCCTGATAACTGTTGTTGTATGAGAACTCAGCATACGGCAAACAACGATCCCAAGTGCCTTCGAAATCCAGGGCACACGCACGTAGCATGTCTTCTAGGATTTGGTTTACCCTTTCTGTCTGACCATCGGTCTGCGGATGGTAAGCTGTACTAAAATTTAGATCGGTTCCGAGAGCTTCATGCAACTGCTTCCAGAACCTTGAGGTGAACTGAGTGCCTCGGTCTGACACAATCTTCTTGGGACAGCCAAATCTACATACGACATGGGTCATGTAGAGTTCTGCTAGTTTCTTTCCATCAAAGGTGGTTTTCACTGGCACGAAATGAGCTGATTTCGTGAGTCGATCCACGATTACCCAGATGGAGTCGTACCCGCTAGGGGTTCTTGGCAAACCGGTGATGAAATCCATTCCGATCTCTTCCCATTTCCACTCGGGAATCGGTAGGGGTTGCAGCAGACCAGCTGGCCTCTGATGCTCTGCCTTGACTCTTTGTGAAATGTCACACAGGGCTACGTATTCTGCGACATCTCGCTTCATTCCAGCCCACCAGAAGTATGCCTTGATATCCTGTTACATCTTCGTACTTCCTGGATGAATGGAGTAGGCGGACTCATGAGCTTCCTTTAGAATGAGATCTCTTAACTCCTTCTTGGCCGGTACACAGATGCGTGGACCCCACCAAACTGTGCCTTGATCGTCTATGGAGAAATCGGTGTCCTTCTTCTCCTGTATTCTTTTTATTAATTCTTTTATCCCTTCATCATCTTTCTGAGCCTCCCGGATTTGCGATTCTAGGGTAGGCTGCACTGTCAAGCTAGCAGGGACACCTGACTGTACCACGGTCAGCCTTAATTTCTCCAATTCTCTGCACAGGCGATCTTGGTCTAGCCATATTTGAGCTTCATTGCAATAGGTCTTGTGACTTAGCGCATCAGCGACCACATTAGCTTTACCGGGATGGTAATGAATTCCAAGATCGTAATCCTTGATTAGTTCCAACCATCTTCTCTGCCTCATATTTAACTCAGTCTGTGTGAAGATATACTTAAGACTTTTGTGATCGGTGTATACTTCACATCTGTTCCCGATTAAATAGTGCCTCTAGATCTTAAGAGCATGAACCACGGCTGCCAACTCGAGATCATGGGCGGGATAGTTGACTTCATGAGGCCTGAGCTGCCTGGATGCATAGGCCACAACCTTTCGTTCTTGCATTAGGGCACATCCTAAGCCTTATCTTGATGCATCACAGAAGATCTCGAAATCTTTTCGGATATCTGGCAAGGTGAGAACTGGGGCAGTGGTCAACCTTTTCTTCATTTCTTGAAAGCTGTCTTCACAGGCTGTAGACCATTGAAATTTCTTTTCCTTCTTTAACAGCTCGGTCATAGGTCTGGCTAGCTTAGAGAATCCTTCAATGAATCTTCGATAATATCCAGCTAAGCCAAGGAAGCTGCGGATCTCTGACACATTCTTGGGCGGGTTCCAAGCAAGTACAACCTCAACCTTGCTGGGATCTACTTCGACACCGTTGGAGGAGATGACGTGTCCAAGAAATGCTACTTGGTCTAACCAGAATTCGCATTTCGAGAATTTAGCGAATAGTTGATGATCCCTGAGCTTTTCCATTATCAGCCTCAGGTGTTCAGCATGTTCTTCCTCATTCTTGGAGTATATCAGGATATCATCGATGAACACCACGACAAACTGGTCCAGGTATTCCATGAAGATTTTGTTCATTAAGTTCATGAAGAATGCCGGAGCATTGGTGAGTTCGAAGGACATCACTGTGAATTCATATAGACCATAACGCGTTGAGAAAGCGGTCTTCGGGATATCTTCAGATCTGATTTTCAATTGGTGGTAACCTGATCTCAAGTCAATTTTAGAGAAAACTCTTGCTCCTTTAAGTTGATCGAACAGATCGTCGATCCGTGGCAATGGGTACTTGTTCTTTATAGTTACTTCATTTAGGGCTCTATAGTC